AGAAGAAGAGATTGGATTAATACCCCGCCCTTCACTCGGAGTCTCAGATCCAGGTTGGGAAACTTCTGGAGATTTGGGGATGGACCTGGGGAGTTTAGGGATGCAAGTAGGGCAAAAGGCCATAGATTCCACACACCAAAGTATCCATTGTCTCCAGGGGAACTGATCTCTGTAGTCTGAATATGAGCTGTAATTCCAGGGGATCCCCAGGTCTCACCTGGAGGCTGGCATCCCTTTGCATGAATCTCCTGCCCTTCACGCCTTGTTTGTGTCACTATTTAGCACTTCACAGTTCCAAAAATGACTACAGCTCTCCTCGTCGCCAGTTTGGTGTAGTGGTTAAATGTGCGGACTCTAATCTGGGATGACTGGGTTTGATTCCGCACTCTTCCACTCGCAGCTGCTGGTGTGACCTTGGGTCAGTCATAAGTTTTTTCCAGACCCATTCTCTTACGAGCAGTTATCGAAAGAGCTCTCTCAGCCCCGCCTACCTCACAGGGTGTCTGCTGTGGGGCGGGGAAGGGAAAGGATTTTGTAAACCGCTCTGAGACTCTGAGTGAAGGGCGGGGTATAAATCCAACCTCTTCTTCTCCTTTCTGATGCTCCGCATTTATTGAACTGAGAAAGGGACTCAGAGGCTTACATCACGAAAATCGTATTGGTCTTTAAGGTAACATTGGACTCAAATCTTCCTTTTCTCCTTCTGCCCAACCTGGCCACCCTCCTGAAACTACACCCTCCTGAAACTACAGCTCAGAATATTTTGCTTTCTGCAACATTTCTGTCCTTTAAAAGCACTCTTTTCAACTGCTGTACCCAAAAAATAAACGGTCAAACTTTCAACGCTGCCCTGGTGCGGTCATACCCGATATCTTTCAATTATGGCAAATTGCAGCTAATCCAGATTGACTTGTTAAGGCCGTGGTGCAAAGCTCCGCAGGGCTCCTGCACTTACACTGAGCTCCGGGATCCGTCCGCATGTCATTTCCAGGGAAGCACCAGCCCGGCCGTTGTTTAAATGAATACTCTCCGTGAAACAAACAGAGAAGTTGTTAATGATATCGTTGGCCTTTCCTCTCGGCACCGCTGATATTTAATAGAAAAATTCATCGCTACATTTTAGGAAAGCTTTTTTTGCAAAGGTTGCCCGATTTGGGCAACACATTATAATCTGTACATATTTTAAAAGGTCACCCTGGGCAGCTCTTTGTGCCGATTCCCCGTTAGTCTCCTTTATCAGAAGTGATGGGGTACATGAACAACTGATCTCATCAAGTACAAATGGAATACGGGAAAACATCCGGGGGGGGGTGGAATCTTTGACTTTGAAGTTTCTCTTTCACTGGCTTCCTTCCAGGGCCCGCCCCTCCAGTGCTGATCAGCTGGCTGGCGAAGGAACTTAAATAAAGTACGTATATAAATGCTAAGCTGTTCTAGTAGTAGTGTAAATTCTTCCAGTGGTGGCTTGTGTAAATTCTACAATGTCAATCCAACAAAGGTTCCAGATACCAGCTTGTTGATGCTTTGGAGTAGCTGCCCAGAAGAAAATTCTGACTGGTTGCCCGTCTATATGAAGTGTATCCTCCTTGTGCAGGAAATCTTTGATGCATCTATATCTCAGATGTTTATAAGAACATAAGAGAAGCCAATATTGGATCAGGCCAGTGGCCCCTCCAGTCCAACACTCTGTGTCACACAGTGGCCAAAAATACCAGGTGCCATCAGGAGGTCCAGCAGTGGGGCCAGGACAGTAGAAGCCCTCCCACTGTTGCCCCCTCTCAAGCACCAAGAAGACAGAGCATCACTTGCCCCAGACAGAGTGTTCCATTTATACCTTAGGAACATCAGAGAAGCCAGTGTTGGATCAGGCCAATGGCCCATCCAGTCCAACACTCTGTCACACAGTGGCCAAAAATGCCCGGTGCCATCAGGAGGTCCAGCAGTGGGGCCAGGACACTAGGAGCCCTTCCACTGTCCCCCCCCCAAGCACCAAGAATACAGAACATCACTTGCCCCAGACAGAGTGTTCCATCTATACCTTAAGAACATCAGAGAAGCCCATGTTGGATCAGGCCACTGGCCCATCCAGTCCAACACTCTGTGTCACACAGTGGCCAAACATACCAGGGGCCATCAGGAGGTCCAACAGTGGGGCCAGGACAGTAGAAGCCCTCCCACTGTTGCCCCCTCTCAAGCACCAAGAATACAGAGCATCGCTGTATTTATGAAACATGTAATAGTTTACTGTCTTTTGAGAAAGAATATCAAAACGAAGTTACCAGTATCCGGAACCTTCGTTGGATTGTCATTGTAGAATTTAAACAAGCCACTACTGGAACGATTTACACTACTACTGGAACAGCTTAGCGTTATATACCTCATTTATGACTTTTACAATTTCTCTATACATATACGGTGTCTGTACCTTTCTGATTTATGTTATTAATATAATAGCCAGGGCTGTTTTTGGGCAGGGGCAGGAACGCACAGGAACGGAGTTCCGGCTGGCTCCCGAGTTGGCCACGCCCAGCAGGAACTCATTAGCATAATAGGCCACACCCAACAGCAGAAACTCATTAGGATTGGCTACATTAGGGGTGTGTGGCCTAACATGCAAAGGGTTCCTGCTACAAAAAAAGCCCAGGGTTTGGACAACAAACAAGGTAAACAGAATAAGAAGCAAAAGGTGGGTGTGGCTGGATGACCACACTTCTGGTAACGTGGGGGTGCGGCCTAATGTGCTAATGAGCGGCTCTGTCAGGGGTGTGGCATAATATGCTAATGAGTTCTGCTGTTGGGTGTGGCCTATTATGCTAATGAGTTCCTGCTGGGCTTTTTCTACAAAAGAAGCCCTGATAGTAGCTATTTGTAATTTCAGCCTCTCTGTCCACAGCTCTTTCCTTGGTTTTTGCTTTCTGCTGTGTGAACTTTTTTTGTGTATTGCTCTTGGTGAGGGGAGTTACCCGGAGTGGGGAGGAGGCCAGTGATGTAGCAACGTCACTTCTGTAGTGTACCGGAAGTGACATCACCATGGTGGTGATGTCACAGCACCACTCTGGTATTTGGGCAAAAGCTCTATTGTGAAGGCCATTTTTACCATAGAGTTTTTGCCCAAATACCAGAGTGCCACTGCAACATCACAACATAATGGTGCCACCTCTGGTACACAATGGAAGTGACATCACCACATCACCCACTCCTGGTAACTCCCTCTACCAGTTGCCAGGACAGACCTGCTGTCAACCTTACTTCCTTCACTAGCCAGCAATCTAGAGTTGACAGCTGTGGGGTAAGAAATCACTGGAGATTTGGGTGTGGAGGCCAGCAAAGGTAGTGGGAGGTGCCACAGCAGGGTACACGGCAATAGAGTCCACCTCCAAAACAGCAATGTTCTCCAGGGGAAACGATCGCTGGCATTTGGAGATCACTGTAATTCTGGGAGACCTCCAGGCCCCACCTGGAGGTTGGCATGCCCACAGTAAACACTAGTTACGGGCACCCTTGCCATAGGGGTGGTGGAATAAACGAACCTATCAGCACAGAATTTGGGTTACCCAAAACCTGACCACAAACTTTTTGGGAGTGAGGGACAAATCCTCATGGTACTGCAGTGACGTATCCCGTGCTCTTTGGGATTCTAGAGAATCACCCCCTGACTCCAAACCCAATCCCGTTTGCTTGCTCTTCTGGTGCTCCAGCGGTGTCGATGACAAACAAGCAGCGTTTTGGCTTGCCGAATGCCCAGGTCAAAAGAAATGCCTCCTTCCTTCTTCCCCCCTTCTTCCTGTTCTTAGTGCCTGCCCTCTTCCATTCTCAACCAAGGGACCTGGTGCATGCTGGGAAATGTAGTTGCAAAATGTTTGACATCCTCAGTCACTGATGGTGCAGAGGACTTCCCAGGGCAAGGTGAAGAAGAGAGGGAGATACTTCCTTCCTCTTGGCCTTCCAGCCACCAACCACTTCCCAAATGAGCAGTTGCGGGAGGGAAACTGGAGTGGGGAGAAAAAGGATGTCTAGCAAAGGGTGTGGTGCTTGTCTCACATAACCAGTAGTCCTTACGAGCAGCTGAAGCTCTCTCTCCAAACTAGGGTTGCTAGGTCTCCCCTGGCCACAGGGAGGGGATGGTGATGGGGTTGCCAGATCCAGGCTGGAAAACTCCTGGAGATTTGGGGATGGAGAAGACAGGGACCTCAGTGGGGCACAATGCCATAGAGTTCACTCTCCCAAGCAGCCATTTTCTCAGGGGTCATTTCGTAGAAAAAAAGGTGCAGGAGCTCCTTAGCATAACTCATTAGCGTAACTTATTTGCATATGCCACACCCCCTGACATCAGCCGAAATGTGTCAGAAGGCAACACCCACCGTTCGGGCTCCACTGGACTGTTTTGGATTGCTAGCTATTGGGGGGGGCAGATCTGTCCTCCCAGAGGAGGGAGAGCTTTACCTGAATAAAACTTGGTCTTAAAGGTGCCACTGGACTGTTTTGGATTTCTAGCTATGGGGGCAGGGGAACACGCATATCTGCCCTCACAGAGGAAGGAGAGCTTGTACCTGAAGGGAGGGGGGGGGGGAGCTCTGCAACTTACTTGGCTGCTTCTTGCTCCTCGTGGCCCAACTGAGGGCTGCTGGGAGCAGGGGGTGGGGCTTGTTGCATATGCCCGCCCCCTGGGCTCCTTACTGCCGGAGCTCTGATCCTGTGCACTCCCACAGGAAATGACCCCTGTCCAAACCCCACCCTTCCAAGGCTCCACTCCCAAAATCTCCAGGAATTTCACACTCCAGATCTGCCAACCCGATAGTTTGCCTACACTGTGATGCATGAGTATCGCACCTCCTCCCTATCCCCTATTTATCTGAACATGTGAAGCAGGTCTCAGATTGTACCAGACAGGGGCCATGCCCTTTGTTATTCATTATCATATCGCCATTTTTTTCGGTGTACAGCTGGGCTACCAACCCAAAGGCCGTGTCCTGATTCTATTCTTCTGTTTCGTCTTTCAGCGGCGATCCAGGAAGATGAAGTGCTGTTTCATCTCCACGGGCCTGGTGGTTCTTCTGGTGATCGTCATAATCATCACAGTTTCTGTCAAGCATTGAACCTGCCAAAAAGTTTTCACAGGTAAACTCTTCACTTGGATTTCTTCTTTAACTGTGGGGGTGTGCATAAAATCTAAGAGAAGCGGATGGTTCAGAGGCCTCAGTGTTGGCTAAAACGGCCGAGTTTCCCCTGGGTGATGTGGAAGCAACTTGGTTGGATCAGAAGGTGGGAGGAAATATATATGTATGCTTACGGCCTGGATTCCATAAATGTGCAGACCATTAAATAATGGCTGGAGTTCTACCTTCCTTCCAGGTTATCTGTTTTGTTTTATTGTGTTGGTTGGACTAGAGGAGCTCCCTTCCAACTCTGTGATTCTGTGTGTGGGGTGTGTGTGTGTTTTTAATATCAAGTCACTGCCAAACCATGACGACTCCATAGGGATTTCCAGCCAAGAGATGTTCAGAGGTAGTTTGCCGTTCCCTGCTTCTCTGTAGAACAACAACAAAAAAAGGGGTCACGGTGGAATGAGTACAAAACAATAGAAAACACCGTGTATAAACATACAATATAAGGAAATAATGTTTATTAATACATTAGTGTCTAATGTATTAAATAAATATAATCATATTATAGGTATTTACGTTCATATCTAGACAATCAAATGCATAATCTAAGTAACAAGGAATATAAGGGGAACAGTCCAAGTATTCTCCTGTCTAAATAGATAGTTTCTGTGCAACGTAATCCAAAAGTAGTAATTTTTTTTGTCAGAGCTTGCTGCTATAGAAGAGGAGGAGGAGGAGGAGGAGATTGGATTTATACCCCACCCTTCACTACCCAAAGGTGTCTCAGAGCGGCTTACAAACTCCTTTCCCTTCCCCTCCCCACAACAGACACCCTGTGAGGTAGGTGGGGCTGAGAGAGCTCTTGACAGAAACTGCTCTTTTTCAAGAACAGCTGTGCCACAGTTATGGCTTGCCCAAGGTCATCCAGCCAGGTGCAAGTGGAGGAGTGGGGAATCAAACCTGGTTCTCCCAGATTAGAGTCCGCGCACTTAACCACTACAATTCAACAGTCTCACCACTGTAGGGCAAATAATCCTCACTGGCAGACAAGCGATCTGACAACTTCCCGGTTGACAAGCCGTTTCCAGCCTTCTTTCTCAAGAATCACTCAATATATTGTCCACATCATTCATTGGAACCCATCTCCATTCTCTAAACCAAACATTCTAACTTTTCCCATGGGATTAAGGTATCTAAAGCTATTCAGGTAGAAGAATATTTGGACTGTTCCCCTTATATTCCTGGTGCTGGAGGAGACTCTTGAGAGTCCCCTGGACTGCAAGGAGTTCAAATCAGTCCGTCCTAAAAGAAGTCAACCCTGACTGTTCCCTGGAAGGCCAGATCCTGAAGCCGAAGCTCAAATAGTTTGACCACCCAATGAGAAGGGAGCACTCACTGGAGAAGACCCTGATGCTGGGAAAGACTGAAGGTAACAGAAGAAGGGGACGGCAAAGGATGAGATGGCTAGACAGTGTCACCGAGGCAACTATCGTGAAACTGAGCAAACTCCGGAGCACGATTATACTTTGATTATGCATTTGATTGCCTATGTATGAATGTAGATACTTATATGATTATATTTATTTAATACATTGCACACAATATATGTGTATTTTATTAAACATTATTTGCATGTATTGTATGTTTATACACAGTGTTTTCTATTGTTTTGTTCTCTGCATAACAAACCTGTTATGCCTTGGTTGTCTCCCATCTCAGTATTGAACAGGGCCTAACGCTGCTTAGCTTCTCAGATCTGTAAAGATCGGGCCGGCCCGGGCTGCCCAACATTGAAAGGAATGGGTCAGAATATCACCTGGTCCTCCTTCTGTATCACTTCCTAGTGTCTTACCCAGGGCTATTTTGGGGCAGGAACGTACAGGAACGGAGTTCCGGCTGGCTCCCGAGTTGGCCACGCCCAGCAGGAACTCATTAGCATAATAGGCCACACCCAACAGCAGAAACTCATTAGGATTGGCTACAGTTGGTGTGTGTGGCCTAACATGCAAAGGAGTCCCCGCAACAAAAAAAGGCCCTGGGTTTGGACAACAAACAAGATAAACAGAATAAGAAGCAGAAGGTGGGTGTGGCTGGATGACCACACTTCTGGCAACAGGGGGCTGCGGCCAAATATGCTAATGAGCTGTGGCATCAGGGTGTGGCCTATTATGCCAATGAGTTCCTGCTGGGCTTTTTCTACAAAAAAAGCCCTGGTCTTACCTTTGTCAGTAGAGAAATAAGCAGTTTGGATGGATCTTCTGGCCAGGTTGAAGGGGAGGGGCCATGGCTCAAGAGGACCGCTTGTCTTTTGTATGCGGGGTCCCATATGCAGCTGCGTGTGGAGGAGTGGGGAATCTAACCTGGTTCTCCCAGATTAGAGTCCGCACACTCAACCACTACACCAAACTGGCTTTCAACCATGGTAGCCCATCCAGAGACCCCTTTCCTCAAACTCAGTTAAATAAAAACTGGCTTAAACCCAGCCACTTTGGTATCACTGGTTTTTTGCCTTGACCAGGGGTCATTTCGTAGAAAAAGAGGTGCAGGAGCTCATTAGCATAACTCATTAGTGTAACTTATTTGCATATGCCACACCCCCTGACATCACCGGAAGTGTGTCAGAAGGCAACACCCACCGCTCAGGCTCCACTGGACTGTTTTGGATGGCTAGCTATTGCGGGGGGGAACGTGCAGATCTGTCCTCGCAGAGGAGGGAGAGCTTGTACCTGAATAAAACTTGGCCTTAAAGGTGCCACAGGACTGTTTTGGACGGGGGGGGCAAGGGGTGGGAGCTCTGCAACTTACCTGGCTGCTTCTTGCTCTGCCTGAGGGCTGCTGGGAGCAGGGGTTGGGGCTTGTTGCATGTGCCCGCCCCCTGGGCTCTTTACTGCCAGAGCTCCGCTCCTGTGTGCTCCTGCAGGAAATGACCCCTGGCCTTGAGCCATCTTGTACCATAACAGCCACACGAGTCCTTTGTTTCTATATCTAGGGGCAACAACTTGCGAGTCACACTCATGGAGGGGCCTGTGGCTCAGAACTGCTGAGAGAGAAGCCCAGACCCCTTACTAATACATTCCATTGGTCTCCCCCTAAGACCGTGAGATGTCCTGCTGGATCAAAGCAGTGGTTCATCAGTTCCAGCCATTTCCCCTGGAAGGACAAGTCCTTTGTTTCTAAATCTAGGGGCAACAACTTGCAAGTCACACTCATGGAGGGGCCTGTGGCTCAGAACTGCTGAGAGAGAAGCCCCGACCCCTTACTAATGCATTCCATTGGTCTCCACCTAAGACCATAAGATGAGTCTTGCTGGATCAAACCAGTGGTCCATCAGTTCCAGCCATTTCCCCTGGAAGGCCAACAAGCCGGGCATAGAGTCTGAGGCCTTCTCTTACCATTGCCTTATAACTCTGGTATGCAGAGCTCTGTCCCCGTAAGGAAGTCCCCTAACCGTCAGTCCCCATGTCTGGTAGCCATTGAAGAACCTACCTTCCTTTAATCTACCTGATCTTGTTTAAAGCCATCAATGATAGTGGCCATCATTATGGATTCTGGCAGAACGTTCTATTTAATTGCTTGTTGACAAAAGAAGCAATGCCCTGACCTGGATGGCCTAAGCTATTCTGATCTCATTAGATCTCAGAAGCTAATCAGGGTCAGTCCTGGTTAGTAGGGATGGGCACAGACCCAAACCCGAGGCAAAGTATGAGTTGGACTTTGCCCTGCTTGGAGTTCGCGAGCGGGGGTTTGGGGAAGGCGCCTTTCCCTGAACACTCACCCAGCTTTTCTGCTTGGTTCGGCTTGCATGTTTGGCACACTGCTCAGGGTGGTGCCGGGCCCTGCCCCCAGCATGCCTGCATCATCCGGAAGTGATGCAAACGTGTCACCGGTGTGCTCACGTCACTTCTGGGTAACACAGACGTTCTGGGAGCACCTGGAAGTGATTCGAGTGTGCTGGGAGGGCTGACGTGCTTGCATCACTTCCGGATGGCATGGGTGTGCTGGGGGCGGGGCCCCACACCACTCAAACCGGATCAGTTTTGCTCAGGGGTTTAGTTTGGGGCTACCCAGTTGGCAAGTCCCAGATCGAACTGAGCTTTCCTCGTCTGTGCCCACCCCTACTGGTAACTGCTTGGATGGGAGAGCACTAAGGAAGTCCAGGGTTGCTATGCAGAGGCAGACAATGGGAAACCACCTCTGTTTGTCTATTTCCTTGAAAGCCCTATAGGGTCGCTCTACGTTTGCCGCAGCTTCATTGCACTTTCCACCATAAAGAAGTTTTTTTTCTTTTGGTCCATTCTGAACAGATGACCCAGAGAGTGAGGAGGTTTTCCCTGTCCACTTTCTCCAACCCATGCATGATTTTATATACCTCTGTCATTCCTAGAGATGTAAAATTTCCGGAAACTTTGAAGCTCAGAAAGAAACCCGTGGTTTTTTTTCGGGAAAAAACGGAAATTTTCGGAAAATTTGGAAAAAATTGCCACATTAGCATTTCTTTTATCTTTTCTAGATTGAAAGTCATTCTGTTACTTTAGGAACATAAGATATGACTATGGACATTTTTACTTGGCATGAAATGATCACAACTAGCCTATTAAAAATATAGTGTATCCAAACAATTATTACAAACAGAATACCCACCCACATGCAAAAACAGAACTGAAACTTTTTTATTTTCTTCTGACAATCGCACGTCCTAAAGGAAGAAATGCATCTTGTTCTTGCATTGGAGAGTTCAGTTTGTAACCTAGGACTTGCTTGTCCTCAGTGCACAGAAATTAGATAAAACTGATACCATATATATACATATTTTTTTAGAAATGATTTGGAAAATATTTGAACACCTTGTCTTAAAATATTTTATTCATCATGTTAAAATAAAATGTTCCATAATCATTTTTTTTCTTTTCTTTTTTCTCTTAAACATTTTGGTCAGACTCTTCTGCACACACACCCGTCCTGTTCTGCTGTATCTTTATTGAAATATTGTGTCCAGAATTATAGGCGATATTCCACATGAGAGAGAATAAGGCATATTTAAAGTCCACTTAGTGGTACTGGATTACCTCCTGAAAGCAAGGCCCTGTACAGCTTTCGGTCCTGTTCTTATACTTAAAAGTTGACATGAACTCTGATGGGAATCGTTTCTGTAAGCACAGTATAAACTTGTGACATGGCCTCCAACCCCCAATTCCATCAGATGCATATATTCAGTCTCGGGGGGGGGGGGGAATTCTGTTTCCATTCTGAAGTGTGTTCAGCAGCTTATATCATGGTAACAGGCCTGGGGTTGTTCTAGGTCTCTTTAAAAAGGTAAAGGTTCCCTTGCTCGAAAGCCAGTCGAGTCCGACTCTAGGGTTGCGGTGCTCATCTCCCTTTCAAAGCCGAAGAGCCAGCGCTGTCCGAAGACGTTTCCGTGGTCATGTGGCCGGCATGACTAAACACCAAGGCGCACGGAACGCTGTTACCTTCCCACCGAAGTGGTACCTATTTATCTACTTGCAATTTCTTGCTTTCGAACTGCTAGGTTGGCAGGAGCTGGAACTAGAGATGGGAGCTCACTCCATCATGCGGCAACTCAGGTCTCGAACTGCTGAACTACTGACTTCCACGGCCTGCAGTTCAATGTTTTAACCACTTGAGCCACCGCAGCTCTTTGGACCCCAGTAATTTCCTTTTCTTCCCATATTTGGCCTTTCATTCCTTTTTAGAGCAATGTCTGTGATTCTTGGGAGCTCTCCTGGGTCCTGAAACCCCTTGCAATTGGTTACATTCTACTGCTTCCATGTGTGTAGTGTGGCCAAGAGATCCTATGACTGCCTGGCAGCCAGAAGTTCCATCTCTTTAGCGTTACTCAGGGTGCACCATGAGGAGGCGAGCTAGAATTGCACCCCAATTGCAATTGTGACTCATCCCAAGTCCAGGAAAAACAGGATGCTCCTGTTTCCATCTCAATAATAATTTTGCCAACCATGAACTCAATGTCTACCTTAGTGGCACCCGACTTACACACAACCGTATACCTAAGTCCCTTGGCATTACCCTGGGCAGGACCTTGAGCTCTAGACACCATCTTACCAATGTAGCAGCGAAAATATGCAGGTGACACAACATTCTCCAAAAATTATGTGATACAACTTGGGGTGCATCTGCTACAACACTTTAGATGCTCAGCTTTGGGGTTGGTGCATAGTACTGTGGAATACGATGCTTCAGTGTGGCTCAGTTACCCCCGTGTACACAATTTGATGTCCAACTCAATGCAACAATGAGAACCATCTGTGGATGTATTAAACCCACTCTGACCTATAGCCTACCTACATTGTGCCACATTGCTCCCACGCATCTCCAAAGGCAAGATGCTCTTCTTCGTGAATATAGAGAGCTCACTGAAACCAGAGAGCTGCCCATCCACAAAGACATGGCTGATGTAGGCCTATCCAGACTGAAGTCCCGACACCCTCCAATAAGATCTGCACAAATCCTGCAATTACAACATTTTGATCCAGGGAATGAATGGTTGCCAACATGGATGCAGTCAGTTCCACCCGATAGCCATAACCTGATAAACACCAACAGGAGGTCCACAGGATTTTACTTGCCACATAAAGTATGGAAGACAGCTAATAGAATTTGAACGGGCTTTGGCAGTTGTGAAGACCTGTTGTTTAAAAGTGGCAAAATAGTAGGACCTAAATACGGTTGTGGTACAGCCCGCCAAACTATTTTCCATTTGTTACAGGAATGTGAGCATCGTGCTTTCCAGGGAGATGTGATGGAGCTCTTTGTACCCTCCCCAGCTGCAACTGAGTGGATTGAAAATGTAGATATTACTATTTAGGGGGCTTGCCCTATCTGCCTGCATCACCACTGTACCTACTTGGTTATATATTTTGTATTATTATATGCTTCCTGTGCGTAACTCTGCCATACAATAAATAAATACATGCTACCGTTGCCTCTAACTTTCTAGGAGTTTTCTGTGCCTCATTGCATCTTGGTTCTAGTGTCTGTTTCCACCTTGCTTTAGCTAATTGTCCCGGACACTTGCTTAGCACCTCTGTGGGTATTCAGCCTATGCGGTATGGGACTAACCTCTTCCTTCCACCCCAAGAAATATTAAAAACAAAAGAGGGTGTGACGAAATGGCTGCCAGCCTGGTAGATCCTTGTGTGTGGGGAACAATGGAGCTGCCATACCTCCTTGCTTACACTTCCCAGATGCCTTTAGGGAAAG